TTGTGATCCACCCGCCTCAGCCTCCCAAAGTGCTGGGATTACAGGCGTGAGCCACCGCACCCGGCACCATTACCTTCTTTATTCCTTCGAGGAGAATCCCTGGGTAAAGTTCCATAACATGCTACATCTTGGTAACTGGAGCTGTAGTCAGACATGTCCAACTGGTTCTCTGGCCAACCCTACAAGGCAGAAATATAGGCTAACTGTAATTGAGTCACTCTATAACAAGAAATAAAACCCAGGTTGGAGTTTCTTCTATTTTTCAATGGCAGTATATACTCTTCCTTAAGAATTTTTATTACGAAATATTTCAAATATACAGGAAAGGCATGAATATTATAACAAATACTGTCTTACTCAAGGTATACCCAGAGTGAATAAATGTCAATACTTTATTATGTTTGCTCAAGATTTAATAAAATTATTACAAATGTAGTTGAATCTGTTGGTCCCATTCATCTTCCTCCCTCCCCAGAGGCAGCCACTTTGAGCAATTTGGCATATATCCATAATGACTTGATAATTTAATGAGCAAACTGAAACACTCTCAGAAGACATCTGTTCCATTAGTAATTCTGCCTGGGTAGCGGGCACAGCTGGGACCATCCCAGGCAAATTTGGCAGTGTGGTTACTCTACCTATACTTGCAATTTAGAAGTTTCAAATAGGTATAAGGTATTGATATACAGAACAGAGAAAACTCTGGCATATCATATGAGCTTATTTAACCTTATTTCAACTTCTCAGGAGTTGACTGCCTCTGAGGACTAAATTTTTTTAAACTTCTTAAGGACATAAATCTGTGCTTATACCTTTTGGATCATCCATAGTCTCTAGCACAGTAACTCATATATAATATGTATTCAAGAAATATTTGTTGAGTAAGATAATGTTGCAATTGGTCCTTAATTTTAAATCCCTGTTTTACCCATTTGAAATAATTTTGATTATGCTATGGTGGATATAACACCTTCTCAAATCAGAGTTAGGCCCATAAAAACACAGACATCTATTCAATTATGTGGTACTGTCCTAGTATGGAATCTATCACGGTAAGAAACAATGTAATACTGAAAGTGCATAGCAATTGGCTAGATATGGTGGCTCAAACCTGTAATTGCACCACTTTGGGAGGCTGAGATGGGTGAATCACCTGAGGTCAGGAGTTCAAGACCAGCCTGGCCAACATGGCGAAACTCCATCTCTACTAAAAATACGAAATTAGACAGGTGTGGTGGCAAATGCCTATAATCCCAGCTACTCAGGAGGCTGAGGCAGGAGAATCACTTGAACCTGAGAGGCAGAGATTGCAGTGAGCTCAGTGAGCTGAAATTGCAGTGAGCCCAGTGAGCTGAAATTGTGCCACTGCACTCCAGCCTGGGCAACGAGAGAGAAACTCCATCTCAAAGACAAAATAAAATAAAATTAAAAAGTGCACAGCAATTTCACATCAAGTATTTGAACTTGGAAATGGAGCTGTGGAGCGAACTATTTGCTTATGATTAAGATGGGAAGCCCAGAGATTTTTCTTTTTCTTTTTTTGAGATGAAGTTTTGCTCTTGTTGCTTAGGCTGAAGTGCAATGGCGTGATCTTGACTGCGGCCTCCGCCTCCCAGGTTTAAGTGATTCTCCTGCCTCAGCCTCCTGAGTAGCTGGGACTACAGGTATGCGCCACTACTCCTGGCTAATTTTGTATTTTTAGTAAAGATGGGGTTTCTTCATGTTGGCCAGGGTGATCTCAAACTTCCAACCTCAGGTGATCTGCCCACCTCAGCCTCCCCAAGTGTTGGGATTACAGGTGTGAGCCACCATGCCCAGCCCTTTTTCTTTTTTTAAACTAACAGGATCAACCAAGTAAGCCCCAGAGATTTTAAAAACATGAAGATCCCATAGCTTTCCAGACTGAGATTCTGCTAAAAACCTAACCATGCTCATAGGTGCATACCTTATCATCTTCATCAAAGCCAGAAAGGTCTGGTCGGCTGGAAGAGACCTATAAGAGAAGAATGGTTTTAACAATGTGGTCAATATATTTAATATGTTTCTTTTTATATAAAGAAACAATGTCACAATTGAAGCCTGTATTATTCACTCTTCTCCTCCTCTTTCTTCCCTCTCCAGGAGTAGTGACTACCCTCAATCTGGAGTTTATTATTCCCATACAAGCTTTATATAATTATATGTGTATATACTCATAACCAATAGTTAATATTATTTTGCATATTTTATACTTTGTATGAGTGATACCTTACTATATATGGTCTTATTCAATAGTCTAGTCAAGATATGTGTACTATTTTTAGTATCATTTAGTTTTAAATATGACTTGTATGAGAATCTCTAGAGTATGTATCTAAGGCATGAAATCTCTGGGTTGGACATAAGGTATGAATATATTTTGACTGCTTTTCCATACAGGTTTTAGAATCAACTTATCAAATCTTACAAAAAATTCTGCTGAGAATTTATAGATTAGCTTAAGGACATGCCAAGTTTTTGATACTGTGAATTCTCATCAATGAGCATAATCATTATTTTAGTTTAGTCCTTTTTGTTGATAGCTGTTTCTTATCTGATTCAGTCTTTACAGGAAATTTCCATTTTATTTAAGCTTTTACATTTATTGGCATAACATTATTCATAATTTACTCATGTCCAAATTTCTGCTCTTTTTAGACTAATGGCCTCCTTTTAATTCCCAGTAATATTTGTATCTTCTCTCATATTTTCTTTTCTTCCCCAATCAACCCTAACTGGAAGTCAGGTCATTTGACTAGCCTTTTCAAACAAGCTGATTTTCAGCTTTGTTGATTATTTGTTTTCATTTCACATATCTCTGGTCTAATATTTATTATTCCCTTCTTTATTTGAATTTATATTTCTTTTTTTTTTTTTTT